ACGACCACGACCACGACCACGACCACGGCCACGACCACGACCACTACCACTACCACTACCACTACCACTACCACTACCACTACCACTACCACTACCACTACCACTACCACACCACTACCACCACCCGCTACCATTACTACTACTACTACTACTACTACTACTAGAAATACATATTACCTGCTACCGGCTACCGTGCGCCGGCGACCGACGACTTTCTTTGGTTGCTTGTTGTTGGTGTTGTTGTTGTCGCTGTTGTTGCCGTGGCCGTCTTACCCGGAGATATCCGGCTCACCTCGACCGCAATGTTCTCATCCCTTGGCTCGTAGTCGCCTTGGTAGTCCTCCGGTGTTGAAAGCGGCTCGAGGACGGAGCTTCAAAGCTTTAGGCAGGGATCTGGCGAAAGCACACTGCATCACCGTCCGAACAGGAACACCATGCTCCACTTGAAAAGGACGGCAGAAGCCTAAACTGTCAAGGACAGTGTTGGGCTTCGAATGTGCCGGCTGGCCCACACGTGAAGTTGAATCGATACGCACTGCGAAACCTTGATTCGCAACACTGTGAGTGACAACACTCGCCATGTAACTTTGAAACAGAAGCAAACGGCCAGCCAGGGAAACTAAAACCACGACCCCTTAGACACCGAAGAATCATGGGCGGTCCACAGAAATGTACGTGTTGCCCGCTGCAGCTGCGATGAGGTCCAAGCCAGGCACCCCTGCCTGAATTCGGGATCCGGCTGCGGCTTGACATGTGCAGCCCTATGCACCATGCGCATGTTTTTGAATGGAGGCCCAATATGAAGCTCCGGTATGGGGTGGTGGTGGAGCATGCGGTTTGAGTGTGTTGCTCTCGGGCTCGAACCCACTCTCGGACAGGATAAATCTCACCGGTGCAGTCAACCCGGATGCCAGACTCCTAAGTGCTGTCGATCCGGGTGGTCGAGCAGGGAGAGACAGGTTGCTGTGAACTCACCGGTGAATGGAGGCCCAGCATGTTCGCGATGTTAGGTCCCGAAGAAACAGAAAGCCCTCAATCTCAACAATGCCTTCGACCTCGGAGGCTCACCGCTGACATCTCCAGGCCTTTAGGATTTCAAGGTGTGCGCCAAATCCGGGATGCCAAGGATCAATTCCTCAAGGTCGGCCGACCCAAGCCTCTTTTCCTATTCAACCTAAGCCCCTGAACCCCAAACCGAGCAGTGCATCTGCGTGGAGAGCGCCCAAGCAAAAGCCCTGCGAGAGCCTGCTTCGCAAGAAGATTGGAGAGGTAGTTCTGCCAATCCTGGTGGACGGCTTGGTAGGAGCCTACTATAGGTATCTAGCATTGAGCTGAGAAGGCTCATGGGGACCGACAGTGGCTGAGGTTTCTGATTCGATCACGAGGCGGGTGAGGCCTCACTGTTCTTCCTCTGTTGCGGAACCTGCATTGTGGGCCAGAAGCGACTTCAGAGAATCTCGAAGCCACCCAAAAAGCCAAGACACAGAATGGATGAAACATCCTGACCTCCTTCGACGGAAGTTTTGCTAGATGCACCTGTAGGTCTCTCAATGGCCAGGTGCTTACACACATTCGGCCCGCATCTCAACATCAAGCGTTCTTCAACAGGCTGACTTCTTCAGGTGGGCTCTTGTGACAAACGATTGTGAGCGAGGGTGGGCAATCAATCTGCAGCTTCTGGTCTGCTTTTGGGTGCTCGACGACGACGATGTTGGTGGAGATGACGGTGGTTGTGCAACTGATTGCAGCTATGCTGGTAGTACGCGGACACTTCTCTCCCACCCTAACGTAGATAGGCGGCAAAACTCTGCATTGAGAGACTGCAGCACCGCATCACTCCAAGCTAGTAGCCCTCAATAGCAGGAGGTGCCCTGGCAGTCCAGCATGTGCTTCGGCAACTCCTCAAGCTCTGCTGCTCGGATGTGGCCGGTAAACGCCTCCTCCGGTTTCGGCTCCGGGTTTGGACTCGCAGTTCGAACTAACTGTTGTGGGATCTTACGCATTCAAGGACATTCTTATTCCAGAAGCAAACCCAATCACCATCGATAGGCAGTAAAGCAATTTGATACACAGGAGACACCAGTAGGGTGCCCAGGTAAGCCCAAAAGTCACCGCAAGTCATTCCCGACAGAAATACACTTCACGCGTCAACCCCGAAACCTAAACCCATCAACCCCCAACTAAATCTGCAATGCCACGGGCCTAGGGGCCTCCTCAAGACCTGGGCCTTTCTGATCTTGACACTAAGTTGCTATGTTCTTATGCCCAGGAGACATGCGAAACGTGTACGTGTTCGTCATGGCAGAAAAACGCCTAACACCAGTGACAACCCCTAAACCTTAAACTCGAAACCCTGAACCCTAAACCCTAAGGCATAAACCCTGAACACTAACTCTCTAAACCCTATGCAAAAAAGGAGCCAACCCAGCCCCTTAAGCAATTTCCGAAGTCACAACCGGGCCGCAGGTGTTTTGTGTAGTTCTGTTCTGACGGGGACCAAACTAGGCGCTTTGTCAAAGCAGCTCGTGGCTAGGAGTCTGTCCTAGAATCGTGTGTACTTACCATAAATGGCCTTGAGGATTAGAATAGGGTTTCGGGGTAGACTATGGTACAATTACAAGACGGACGTGCTCTTACAATACTCATAGTTACATTCAAGATCACAGAACCACCGGAAGGGAGCCGTGCGAGTTGTTCTAGGTAGAGTCCCTTTCAGGAGTTTCATCTTCTACGCTAAACATGATCCCTGAACCCTGCAACACAAACCTCAGGTGCAACCTGACGAAGCAAATGGAAGCCCCCAACCCAAACAGGTGGGAAGCCTCGAAGCCGCTGTGAAACCCTTAAGCCTGAGTCTCTTAATTAGCTTCACCTACCTGAAGCTAAACCTTGAACATTGAACCCTAAAGCCTGCATCTTAAACCCGAGTAATATAGGGGCCTAAATAATTACCAATACTAGTTTGGGGTTCTTTATTGTAACTTTTGTTTTATATAGCCCAGAACCCTATTCTAATTATTAAGGCCTCTATATTGGATGCATCATGTGTCGTCCTTGTAATCCTCGAGGACCTTTTTGTTGAAATCGTCCAGCTGGTACTCCTCTTCCTGTGGTCTGCCACGTGGGGTTCTGAGCTACAAGCATACCCTGAGGCACGGCTGCCTGCCATATTCGCACAGCAACAATCGCAGTGATGATGTGTGGTGATACTGTGCTGATAGACTTGATAGGAACACTTGTTATCGTCGTTCCAGATGAACCCGAACAGCAACCAGCGTTGTGAGAGGAATTGCTGCAACAACAACAGCAACGGAAGAAGAGTTATCAAGGCGAATGGGCATGCTCGACTAGACCCATGTGCTGAAACAGGCCCCAGGCTTTGCAACCCCAAGCGCAAAAGAGCACAATTCTACAGTGCCAACTCTGACCAGCGAACCTCACTCCGGGGGCTTAGGGTTCAAGTCTTCCGTCCCATCGCCGCCCTCCGCGCCGTGCATAGCCTACGACCTACGAGCCCGCCTCCCAACGGCTTTGTCGAGACGACCGGAGAATCTTCTAAGCTTAGATTATACCGCCTTGTGGTTACACACACATACGTTGGGTTCTCATGAGTTCTCGGGTAAGGGGCTGGGGGTAACTGGAGGTTCGGGGCGGAGGATACTAGAAGTCTATTATAGACAATTGGGGGTTCCCCAAAATAGGGGACCCTGATATAGTACCCTAAATGGAGGCTTGTAGTGAGGACCCAAAAGAGGTCCCCCACCCCCCATATTCTCGGAAACTCCCAATTGGCTCTTGCGAACCGAAACAATTGGATTCCCATCGGCCTGAAAGTTGTCGCTCGCCTCGCGCAAATTTGCATCAGGAGTGGAGTCGTCACCAACATAGGCCTGGGATGCTCTTGGAGGCCCTCTGAAATATACTTGCCATAACCCATAACATGTCGGAAGTCTGCTTCCTGTGAATATGAAGGATGTTCAATACGGCCACGAAGCCTCGCTTTTGAAGCCGGCCAACAGGTCCTGGCTTTCCAGCGGCCAAATCAACATCTACTACCCCTACAGCTCACTTCCACCTACATCTTGGGCTCCTGGGCTATGGGTGCCATAAGTTTGGTTTGATCTGGGTTTAAGCAGCAGTACCTCACTCTGAATTACTGGGTCCTGGGGTCCAGTCTTCGTGTGCTTCCTGCCCTTGTTGAGTCGGGAGCCTGAAGAAGTTGCTTGTGATTGTGAATGTAGAGGCCTTAATAAGTAGAATAGGGTTTTGGGCCCATTATACTATAATTACAATAAGTATTTAGGCCCCTATATTATCTCTGTTCCTCGCCGTTGCAGATGTTTTGCCCCCTCACTCTCCCAGGCATCGGCACGGGTCAGGTCCCCCTGACCGTAGGTCTACCCGTTCTGGGCTTTGTAGGGGTATGTGACTGAAAGCAGGGAGCAGTTTTCGGGTCTGCAAGGCTACAGCCATTGTTGGTTCTTTCGTTCTAGCTTGAGTTCTTTCTTGTTCTCTCCCTCTCTCTCTCTCTCTCTCTCTCTCTCTTCATCTCCATGTCTTAACTGGGTCGAACCTGACCTGAATCAGACTGAAACCCTAAACCTTAAACCCTTCACCTGAAACTTCCCGGTCCTGTCCGACGTGGGGGCACCCGTGCTGCAAGGCCATGTGGGTTCTGTCCACCGCGGCCTCGGGGTAAGGGTTTTTCCGACCCTTTGAAAGCCCGGCAAGACGTCGGTCGTGCCTTTGGGTTTACGGTTTAGGGTTTAGGGTCAACCGAATATCGATTTGATGTTCTGCGACGGGTTACAGAGAGCGGTAACAACACTGGCGGGTGGAATGCAGAAGTGAAAGTCAAGTGAACCCAAGAATCCCTGGCAGGGACCTACAGTTACGAGCAACTGCCTGAAATCCTAAGAAACCATACTACAAGGGGCCTGAATAGGTTCAATAAGGTTTTGGGGCTTGTTATACTATAATTATAGTACGGAACCCAAAAATATATAGGTAATTATCAAGGCCCCTAATTTGACATGGCTTTCCTCAGCAGCTCCGAATCCTGCCCAAACCTTCCATGAAACTCCATGGATATTTACGAAACCTTCCACATTCTTCAGGCTGCCTTACAACAAAAAACATCTGAGCACCGCGATCATTCAAGACGAAGTTTTAAGTCCCTCCACGTTTTTACGAAACATCGCTGACGACCGGAAAGCTGAAGTCAGCTGCAAGTAAGCCAGCACTTCTCAGATCAAGCCTGCCTCTTCAAGACCCTGAATCTTCAAACTGACTCTATCTTTCCAACGGGCGCTGCTGTCTGTCAGCTGGAACGACACTCTAAACCCCGAAACCCTGGAGCCGGTTTAACCTGGGTCCATGCGTATGCCAGGGACTGGGGCACCAACCTTGATGCCCTTAAACTCAAACCTAAAATCCGAAGACAGGCATGTGGAAGTCCCCCCCCCCCCCAATAAC